TCACCTCTCCGGAGGTGCGGATAGCTACGTGTACACAGGATCGTCATGAAACGCGTCTCCAGGGAAGTTTTGTCTCCGCTGGATGTGTCTGCTATTTCCTACAGAGCCCAGGTGGGGGCAAGGATTTGAGAGGAAAGACACAAGAAAGCCTTGGTTATTATTCACTTTCATGTCTTTGCCTAGGCCGAGGGTACTTAGAAGCTGTGTTAACCCAGCCACCCAAGGAGGCTGGCGTTGGCCCCTTCTTCCTTCCTTGGCCTCCTCACCCCCTCCAGTTCCCAGGGATGCTGCGGACTGACACAGAGGGACTGAGTACTAGGCACTTCTACCCTGGCTTCGGGGCCACAGGCCACAGGCAAACAGAGTTCTGAGACTATGGAGACTCAGAATTCTCCTTCCATCCTTAAACTTCTCCGAAAGCCTCTTCAGGAAGTGTGTCTGTGCACATGGGCAAGGAAAAATGGCCTAGCTAGTGCTTCCCCAACTGTCAGAAATGGCAAACATATTTTAACACACCGGTTAAAATATATATTTCCACAATGGTCTTCTTGCTGGCTACTAGTTCTATTTAGATTGCTAGGCTGATATTAAATTTCCCTGTAAAATAAATCATTTCAGGTTTTAAAAAAAGTATTTAAAAAAAAAATTTTCACAGTTCGTTATACCTAGCACAAATCATGTGGGAAGTGAGTGGCTGAAGTTTGGGAAACACTTGCTGGGCCCATTTTTACCCAGCTGGGTTCTTACAAGGCTCTGAAGGAGAGAGAGAGAAGCTGCGGGCAAACCCCCAAATCACTGCCTGACTCTGCCCCACTTTGCCCCACCCAGAGGCACAGACAGAATCAGACTTCACTCAGAGAGGCCTTAAAATCCACGGGAAAGACCACAACACTCACCAAGATCTCAGCAGCCACCTGAGAGCAGGGAGGAGAGATAGGAGGGAGAGAGGGGAAGGCAAGAGTCAGAGGAGGCCCGGAGAGGATGGCTCTGGGGGCCCTGGGGCGCAGGGACGGGGGCCTGGCTCAGGGTGGCAAAGGCCCCAAGAGGCCCAAGGGGACTTGGGACCACGATGGGCACAGGGAAGAGAGAAAACACCTTTTCTTGAACTTTAGGATGGAGCTCAAAATGAGAATAGGCCTGGGAATTACTTAACTACAAAAATGCCCACCTGAGGGGTATAGGGAGGACACAGAACGGGGCACTCTAGCTGTCATCACACCTGGCAACCTAGGGCAACTCCAGACCTACTGTGCGCATCTTCAAAGCCACTGAGAAGTCAGAATGTGAGAAGTGCCAAGCTCGCCACACCCTTCACATTCGGAGTTAGAGGGTCCTGGGGAAAGCTGTCATTTCACTCCCTCGAGTGACAGACAGGACAGGAGAGCTGAGGCCTGAAGGGGAGGGGACTTGTAGGGGGCATACAGCCAATCAATTGAAAAAATGCCAGCTGTTCAGTCTTCTTATAAGGGTCAACTTAAATCGCTCCTTTATGCTGAGCACAATCCTCTATTGTTAGTACAGATTTTGTTAGGCAAATACTGTGGCCTGGAGTGCCCAGGGATGAAATATGGCCAGCCCTGTGTATCCTAGACTGTTTTGCTTTTGCCTGTGTCCCCGAAACTCTGCCCTCCACTTTAATCTACTGAACATAAAAAACCATCCTCTTCATAAACTTCCCAATAGTTTTATGCTTTAGAAACCTTTTTATTTTATAAATTGGCAATGTCTATCAAAATTTATAATGCACATGCTTTTCGATCAAGCAATCATGTAGCTAGGAATCTGCCTTAAAGATATACTGGCAAAAGTCTTCCAAGATGTATAATGCAAGAGTGTTCACTGAAGCATTCTTTGCAACAAAGAAAACCTGGAAACCATTAATAGACTTGTTAAACAGTCTATGGTTCTTCCAATACTGGAAATCCATGCAGATATTAAAAAGAATGAGACTAGTCTGCAGCACTGATAAGGAGTTTCCATTTAAAGTAAGCAAAAAAGTGAAGTATAACATATTGTGCATAATAATGTTCTTTTTATCTAGAAAGAAAAGATAAATGCGCACTCGCTCCTACGTACTTACTGGGAAGTTATGTAGAGGGACAGTCAAGATACTGTTGACAATGTTTGCCTTTGGGGACTGTGAGGGAAAGCTTTTCATTTTATTTTTCCTCAAATTTTACGTTTACATTTTCTCAACATGCAAATATATCATTTTTTACGTTAATGTCGAATAGATGTTATTAGGATTATGGGATGCTTCTGTTTTTTATTTATACTTTCTATATTAAAAACAACCTAGTTGAACCTTGAGGACATTATGCTAAGTGAAATAAGCCAGTTCCAAAAGGACAAATACTGTATGATTACGATTGTATGAGGTATCTAGAGAGGTCAAATTCACAGAGACAAGAAGTAGCATGGTATTTACTAGGGGCTGGGGAGAGGGAAATGGGCAGTGTTTATTTAATGGGGACAGAATTTCAGTTTTACAAGATAAAAAGAGTTCAGTGGAGAGATGGTGCTGAGGGTTGTGTAACAATGTGAATGTACTTAAATCACTGAATTGTACACTTAAAAATGGTTAAGATGGTAAATTTTATTATGTTATACGTATTTTTATCACGTATTATGTGAATTTTACAACTTAAAAAAAGTTATGCTAAATACTGACCAGGTTTTTTTTTTTTTTTTAAAGAGAAATGTTTAAAAAATTTGAGAAGGATCTAAAGTGCCAAACATTCTTCATTTATTTGGGTCAGAGAATCCCAGACAAATATGTTTTGTCAAAGTATCTTTAAGACAATCATATTTGTAATATGAAAAATGCGGTGGGTTACTAAAATAATTTTCTAGATAATCAACACAAAAGTGTTTCCTTATTAGCCTAGTTACTTCATGCAAAAATTAATCTGGGCAGCACCTATAAAAGTCATAGTTATCACATGACACAGCAATTCCACTCCTAGATACACACCCAAGAGGAATTAAAACATATGTGCACACGAAAACTTATAGGCAAATATTTCTAGCAAGCAGCTATAAATATTATTCATAATAGCCAAAAAGTGGAAACAACCCAAATGTCTGTTAGCTGATGAACTGATTTTTAAAAAGTTATATATCCATACTATAGAATATTATTTGACAATGGAAAGGAATGAAGGAATATATATGCTATAATATGGATGAATTTTGAAAATGTTATACTAAATGAAAGAAACCAGTCACAGAAGGCCACATATTACATGATTCTATTTATACGACATGTCCAGAGTAGGCAAGTCAGGGACAGAAAATAGATTAGTGGTTGTTTAGGGCTGGGGGGTGGGGAGGAAATGAGGAGTAACTGCAATGTGTTTCTTTTCGGGGTGATGAAATGCTCTGACGTTGATTGCGGTGACGATTGCACAAGTCTGTGAAGACACTAAAAACCACTGCAGTGTACACTTTAAATTGGGTCAATATATGGTATGTGAATTATATTTCAATAAAGCTGTTCTATTAAACAAATAATAACCTGGAGACTGAATTACCTAAAACTGGCCACAATTCTTCATTTTCCTCTGGGTCCATAATTAGACCATCTGTATTATTTATTGCTCAAACTGGAACACCAAGAGTGAAAGGGAAGCTATTAGCAATTACTATGGGGAAATGGGTGAGCACTGGACATATGTCTCCCTGCTCATAACAGACCCAGAATTTCAAGAGCTTGAGAGTGTTCTAGACGCCCATGGTAAAAGAGGGTATGGGAAGGGAGGGTATACACGAGCGAACAAACACTGCCAAGTACTAATGTGCAGTATCTAGAATTTTTATGGGGGAACTTGGCTTTGCATATCAAATGCCTTCAATTTTTGTATATATTTTCCTCCAGCATTCCCATTTTGCCTCCAGAAATCAACTCGAATGGAAAAATCATGCGTGTGACAAAAGAGTTGGTTACTAGGAAGAGGGCTGGTTAAAAAAAAGTTTGGTAGATTCTTAAATAGGATATTGCCATTAAATGCTGTTGATTTTTAAAAATGACATGCAACAGTGTTCGCAGGATATTAATTTTTAACTGATATAAATCAGAAACCCATGTTTTATACATACATTAAAAAAAAAACAACTAGACTGATATATTCCAAAATATTAACAATGTTATTACTGGTAGGCTCTGTAATTTTTTTCTTTTCTTTCTTTCTTTTCTTTTTCTTATCTATCTATCTATCTATCTATCTATTACTTTCTTTCTTTCTTTTCTTTTTCTTATTTATCTATCTATCTATCTATCTATTTATTAATTTATTTGCTTGTTTCTATTTTCTCAAGTTTCTACAAAAGAATACGTATTACTTTTGAAACAAAATGTTTCTAGTTATAAGAAATGAGCCCACAGTAAGCCCGGGGTCTTGAACCTGTGAACTGGGGGGGCAACTGAGCTGGGCAGGGCTCTGGCTCCCTTGGTTCTTTGCACCCAGGTTCTCTCTCCCTCTTTCTCTCCTGCAAAACTGCCCCAGTGAGGCCCACCACTGCCCCCTGCTGGCAGCACCTGGATGAATGTCCTAGTAGAGGATGGATTTGAGGTGATCTTGAGGAAGAAGTCAGTTTCAAAGACCCTCAACAGCACGATGGGGCGGCTCATACTAGTACTTAAGTATCTGTTGAATGAGTGAATGAAATGTGGCTTCAGGAAGCCACTCTAGGGGGCTGGATTTCCAGGCTCTCCCCTATAAACGTAAGCATAATGCAGCAAGAGTATCTTATTGGAATGGAATCCTGAAGCTTCTGACAGCTATACTCCAAACCAGGAGCTGGACAACTGGACACCAGCAGTTACCTGGTTTGGAAGCTGCAGGGAAATGATTATACTGGGTCCTATATTAAATAATATTAGGTATAGGCTTTGAAGTCAGGCAGGCCTGGCTCCAAATCACACCATGGGCACTTAGAAACTGTACCCTTGGATAGGTAAAGAGCTTTGTTTTCCTCCAGTAAGAAAAAGGGGGCATCATGAAGTAAAAAACGGTCTTAGCATCATGCTCAGTACTTAATACGCATCCTAATCGTTTCATAGAATTTGTCAGGTTACAGCTAAGGATCTTTTCAGCTCAGATGCTGCCGGAACATTCCACACCTCTGTTGGTGGAACTGGGAAGCTGGTGCCCTGACTCCCAAACCATCGGAGCTCTTTTCAATCCACCAACTGTTAAAGAAGGGGGCTGGATCCTCAAGCTGTAGTATCTATGCTCATTCCTGGATCTAGAGCTTTTGGGGGCTGGGAGGAAGGGTCAGGCAGAAGAGACAGAGATCTGCAGCTGGGCCAGGCCAGAAGGTGCTAGAAACAAGGCACAGGCAAGTGGGGATAATGGAGATGGCCTCAGCAGGGATTGCCCAGCCACAGGGACTCTTAAGGACAATGGATGTGGGGTTGTCCAGCCTCTATGAGGAGCCAGCTCTAGATCTCAAGCTCCTTAGCCTTAGGAGCAGGGCAGAAGCATAATAGCCAAGAGACCCTAGAGCAGCAGTCCCAAACTTTTTTGGTATCAGGGACTGGTGCTCCTATGAGAATCTAATGCCTGATGATCTGAGGTGGAGCTGAGGCGGTGATGCTAGTGCTGGGAGCGGCTGCAAATACAGATGAGGGTTTGCTCGCTCACCTGCCTCTCACCTCCTGCTGTGTGGCCTGGTTCTTTACAGGCTACGGACCAGTACCGGTCTGCAGTCCAGGGGTCCCCTCTCCTTATTTATTCAACAACAAAGATATATTAAGTCCTGACCATGTGCCACTTTGGAAACATCAGTGAGCAAAACAAAGATCACAGCCCTTCATGAATTCACTTTCTAGGTTCTCCCAGGATACTCCCTTCAACCTTGGTCCCATTTCATAGATAATGAACCGAGACCTGTAGCACTCAGGCTTCTTCCCAGCAAGCTCCCAGACTGCTCCCTCTGAGTCAATTCCACCTGGGCCACTGATTTGCTGTGTGACTTTCAGAAGTTACTCACCCTCTCTGGGCCTCTGTTTTCCCACTGTAACTCGGACCATCTGTAAGTCCCTTTCAGCTCTGAAGGTCTGGGGCTCTAAAACTGCTCTTCACACAGGAAATGCCAAGACCAGCACTATGCTCCTGAGCATCACTCTGAGAGCTCTGAAAACCCCACAGTCTCACTTCTGCGGGTGAAGTGGTGCAAGCGGACCAGAGTCTAAGTGTCTGCCAATCAAACCAGTAGCCTCCCCCGCTCTGACAGCCAAGGCCTGGCATGGACAGACATCGGCGGGAGTCGCCGGGGCCTCACCTGGGCATCCTCCCGAGCCTGGTCCCGGTCTTCTCCTCCCTCCGCACGGTTCCCCTGCAGCAGGACCAGTGAGAAAGGTCAGTCCCCAAACATCCTCCCTTTGTGCCCCTCAGTAGCCACAGGAACTTGCTCAGCCTCTCTGCCTCTCTGAATACTTTTCTTCAGCTGTAACATGAGGGCAATAATCCTGCCTTCATAGGGTGGGCTGTCGTAAGCATGAAATGTGCACATTTGGAAGGCGCTTATTAGTCCAAGGCCTGACTCAGACACACTGAGCCTGCATCAGGGCCTGGTACCTGGGCTGCAAGACTTCCAAGAGATGGTGATAGAAACTCTCAGGTATGACACAGAGAAAGGTCACCCACATGACTTTGTCCTGTCAGCTGGGTGCCCAAAGACAGGCTGCTGGGACTAAGACGCTCACCAGGGAGGGCTGCACGGAGAAGGTGGCACCAAGCCAGCTTTGAAAAGTGAACAGTGGAGAAGGCATTGCACGAGGCAGTAACCGCCTGAGCAGTGGAACTGAATAGGTTAGTGGGGAAAACACCTGTCTCTTCATCAAAAGTGGGCACCTAACTCCCTGCTCCCCCACATAGCAACCCTCCCCTTCCCCCGGGGTCCCAGAGGGCCAAGCAGGGCTGGGGCCATGAATTCACCCACCGTGGCCAGAGATATGAGGATCCTCTTGAAGTGGCCAGACGTGTCTGAGCTCAGAGCATCTTCCAGGGACTTGTGATAGTCTGAGACAGAGAAAGGGGATATGGGTAGCAGCTGCTGGTCAAGGACTGGAGCGGGGCCTAGAGGCTCAGACTTGACCCAGAGCAGTGTTGGCGAGGGTGGTGGGGATGAAGGAGTTCGCAGTTGGTTCTTGGGGGCATCTAGCCATCTGTTGACCTCGAGACTGATGTGCCTATTGGTCCATCATTTCCTTCTGCTCCTGTCCTGGTTGAGGTCTCACTGCATCTCGCTTCTCCCATTTAACCGCTTCCCTATCTCCATTCTCTTTTCTCCTTTCCCCGCTGTGTGACAGTTGCTAGACCCACAAGGACAGCTCTGGCCATGTGACTCCCCTGCTCGAAAATTCTACCATTTTAATGCTGTTTACAAGGGGAAAAGTTTAAAGATTTTTAACTGGTACTCAAGGTTCTTCAAAATAATATGGGGCCACTTGTGAAAAAATTATTAACAATTTCAAGATGACGATGGCATAGCATGCAGCCAAGCATGGGCCTTCCGAACAAGGGACACAGTGTGGCTGCACAGCCCACCCACCCAGGAAGCCTCCCTCCCTCTCTGGCGGCCTGGACGCTCTCTCCCCTCGCTCTCAAACTCTCTTCTCCTTCCAGGCCTTTGTCTGGCTGGGATTCTGTCTGGGGCACCTTTTTCCAAGACTCGGGGTTGGGCACACCCAAGGAGGTCATCGAAGCCTCGTGGCCTAAGAGAAGGCAGAGCTGTAGGGAGAACTGTGGGCGAGGTCAGAAGCTGGCTCTTCTCCCACCTGCCTCCCAGGGTGCTGGGCCCTAGGCCTCCTCCTCACACTCACCTTCCTTATAGGCCTCATTGATGGCCTGGATTTCGGCGTTGGTCCGAGTAGCTAGGATTTCGATGAGAGCTTTTTCATCGGTGCCAGCTCCCTAGAATGTCAAGGAAAAGAGGATCTGAACCACAGCCCTGAACCTCCTGCTGATGTCTAAGGGGCCCAGGCCAAGGAGGCCTCTGCTCCAAGAAACCATCCAGGAGGCAAATGTCCAGGCCACCAAGCCTTCCTGGATTCTCTCCTCACCTAGACGTGGCCCCCAGACCAGAGACCTTGGCCCAATCAGGGCTGAACATTCCAGCTTGTCAAGATTCCCAGAACCTCCCATGAGAATTGCTTTGGACCAAAAATTAAAAAGAAAAGAATATACGGTAGAAGGGTATGTGCATCTAAAAACGCACATACAAACACACGTTGGAACGTAAACGTTCATAAGTAAGTATATCACAAGAACAGAGGACACGCATCACAACATTGGTGACTGGTTTCCGGGTAGGTGAAGGAACCACAGATGATTTCTGTTTCCTTCTTTTTTGTTCTGTGTTTATTTTTCAAGTTTTCACAGTGAACACATATGATTTTGTCAGAAGAAAAAGTTTGGTGCTTTAAGGAAAAAACATACTATGTTTGTTTATGTTTGGATGTGATGAGTGATTCATGGACTGATACATTAAGTCTTCTGGACAGAGGCAGCTTGGGGAATCCTCTATTCTAAGGACCCCATTTTAGGGGAGCGGAAGGAGGTAGACAAGACTGATTGTTAATTGATTGATAGATTCAAACATCTGTTAAACACCTGTAATGTGCCAGTCACTGTGCAAGCTGCTGGGACAATGGCTATAAAAACAGGGAAGTCACGGTCTCTATCCTGGGAGGTTACTGCCCAGTGGTCAGCTGGTCCCTGGGTTCTCTGCCCCGAACAGACCGAGGCTGACTGAGGTCTTTAATAGTCTCTTTCTTAAAAGCTGACTTGTGGCAAGGACAGCCTGACCCTTAGAGTGTCCTGAGACCCGGGGTCTAGCTCCATCCTTCTAATTCTGTGTTTTTAGGTCATTCACTTTTTTTTTTGTCTAGGAATTTTAAATGGACAATAATCTCAATTTGCTTTGCCTAGGAAATGTCTGTTCTCTGTTCTCTTTAGAACCCTTCAGGGGTCCAAAGCTCTAGTGTTTTCACATCGTTGTCAGGTCAGGCTCTAGCACCAGACAGACTTGGTCCAAATCCCAGCCCTGCTGCTGTGACTTTGACCCAGTGACTCAA